GAGCTAGCTCAGCAGATGGCCGACTGCCACCTTTTGTACCTCCCTCCAAGGTAATAGATCTTCCAAGTACAAAATACAGTATTACTATAGTAAGACAATGCTTGAGCGAGTTGAAAGTCTTTCATGATGCATTAGCGCACCATCTGTTATGAAAATTTGAAACTATTATAGATGCGTATGTTTCTTTTAGAAATTAAACGGGGTCGGTGGAAGGCTGGTTAAACCGTTTGGTTTTCGACCTCTATGACCCGGGTTCGATTCCCGCATTGGACACTTTTTTCTGTTTAAAAAAAAAAATGCTCCAATGGCCCCCGATTCTTGCAAAAGTCCAACCCCACCAGCGCGTGCAAGTAACCAAACGGGGCTCTGGCACATTTGTAAATGCAAAGTCGAACTGCTTTTCACATGTGTAGACATGTGGTGTGCTTACAGTAAAAGCAGTCGCTAACTACCCACCATGATTATCATGGCCTGTACCACGTGTACTAGGGATAAGCCAAAAAAAAGATTATTTTAAAAATTAAACAATTTCTACTGCCCTTACTGCAATGGAAAAATTAATTCTCAACCTGCAACCCCAAGACATATTATTGACTGTATTGACTCATCCATTGATAAGCTCTACTCTTCCCCAGCAGACACCATCAAAAGTCTCAAGCTCTACAAGCTTGATACCTTAATATGATTGAGTGGAGATAAGAAAGAAGAAAAATTAATGGGTGGGCCTGGCTCATCAGTGGTTAACTCTCCCAACAGTTTTGTCAATTCAATCTACCATACCGCTGTTATATTGCAATTTTCTATCTTCCTTTTATAGTGATACTGATGCTAGACTTTTGGAATGGGTATTTTAGATGTACTATAGACATAAGCTTTTAAAATCTTTTATGTCGCTGGTCGTCTATTTATTATTATTTTATTTTTTAAGAAGATAGAGGCAATTTTGTTCACACTTGGTTATCTTGTGTGTGTTCCCAATAAAGATCACTGTAATATCTTTTAGAGTTATTGTCTGGATCCCGATATACATGGTAAAAGGTACAACTTCCTTAAGTTTTGTCCATGAGTGTAGTTATCTCATGTGTCTTCAATAAAGGTCACTGTAATATCTTTCAGAATTATTGTCTCAATTCCGATATACATGCTAAAAGGTACAACTTCCTTAAGTTTTGTCCATGAGTGTAGTTATCTCGTGTGTCTTCAATAAAGGTCACTGTAATATCTTTTAGAGTTATTGTCTGAATCCCGATATACATGCTAAAAGCTACAACTTCCTTAAGTTTTGTCCATGAGTGTAGTTATCTCGTGTGTCTTCAATAAAGTTCACTGTAATATCTTTCAGAGTTATTGTCTGAATCCCGATATACATGCTAAAAGGTACAACTTCCTTAGTGAGAGAGGGTAAATTGATAATTTTGCAGTAAAGCACAATTTGTATTATAGATTAGAACTACACAATAATAAGACCAAATCCAAAAAGAAGGAGGGGGAGCAGTAACAAGCTCGCTGAAAAACCTGGGCTCAGCTGGCCTGGCTGATAGTACCCTGTAATGGCTTCTAATCCGGGGATACAGGATGAGCAACGTTTGTACTCCATGTTAGGAGCAGCTGCACATGGCATCTGTTCCTCATGTCAGAGGCGGCCATTTCTTTTGGAACTAAGTCAGCCTGCCACAGTGCTCTCAGTCTTAATGACAAAGGCATTCTACTTCACCCAGACAGACACCATCAAGGGCCACAACTTGATACCCTAATATGATTGAGTGAAGATAAGAAAGAAGAAGAAAACCAAATCCAGATAAATTAATAGTATGTGATGTTTCAGTAACAGCGTTGTTACCATCATCAAACAAAAGAATAAATGGAAATAGAGGATAGCTTCAGATCCTGAATTCTTTAAAATAGAATCTTCAAGTGATGGCTTAGCATTGATATTCATTTTGGAATTCTTTTTTTTTTGACGTGATAACGTCTTAAATTAGGTTGCGGCTGGGAGTCACTTATGAAAAAGTGTAACGCCCGGTAACGTTACGATGAGTCATCGAACGAGAGTGCTGCGCACGCAGCGCTAGAGAATTAGGCGCATTGAATCGGCGCATGCTTGTCTCTGTCTTTGTCTTTCTCGAACGTTCTTGGCGTTGAAAAAACAAGAAAGCGTCATAATACAAGTTCACACATGTGGTTAAAGTATCGTCAGCTGTGTCTGTAGTGAAAATGTGGAGTGCTTAGATTCGTCATTTACAACAACTACAACAATAAAGGTAAATAATTGTACACTGATATTTCATTATCGTAAACTATGATTGATTGATTAATTGTTAGATTGACACAAAAGTTGAGAAACTGAGTTTATAGGTTATGTCATACTATTGATAAATGTTGATAGTGTTAAGTAAATTATTAGTTTAAAATTAATTAATTAATTAATTATTATTTTACAAATTTTAAATAGTTTCAAATTTATTTAGCAAAAATTTGAACCTTCGATCTGAATAAATGTTTTGATTTTCGAATTGATTCTTTAAAATTACAAATATTAAGAAAAAGTGGCAGATATAAGAAAACTTTATTTAAACTGTGTTGAGCAAGAATTTTAACATCTAATTTAAGTAAATGTTTTAATTTTCAACTTCATCATTTACAATTACAAATTTTATTTAATTTCAAATTTATTTAGCAAAAATTTGAACCTTCGATCTGAATAAGTGTTTTGATTTTTAAATACCAACGCGGCTGGTGGAGTGGCGATCTATCGTAAATTATCATCGACATCTACGGCGGAAGTGTTCCAAGTTGCGATTACAGACGTAACTCGTGTCATTAAAACCAAGGGTGACATGTGCATGACTGAAGTTACTTGCTTCGCCGCTAATACTAGCTTCAAGTTTATACTCGGTGCTGTATATATTCATCCAGGAGCTAGTATGCAGGATATTGGAATGTTACTATGGCAAGGACTCGGTCCGTACATTCACAACAGCCAGTACGTGCCACCGTTCGTGCAAGTTGATTCTAGTATACCGATTCTTCTGTGTGGTGATTTTAACAAAAACGTAAAGCCTGACAACTCGTTTCTTAAATTCATGAAAAATACGTATAATCTTGATTGCGTATCAAATGTTTCTAAGTCAACTACGTTAAAAGGAACAACTATCGACTTGACTTTCGCAAGACACATTACAGCAGAAACACTTCATTTCATTTCATATTTCTCCTATCATCGTCCTATCCTCAACAAAATCACTCAAATAGGAATTAGTTAAGTTTAAGTTTACATGTACAATGTTTTAGTAAACAAAATATATTTCTATAGTTAAAATTTGTGCAATTCTTATTTTCATTCATTCCTTGTTCCTATTGTGCAATTTAATTATATTCATATCAATAAATATTCTACCGTTGTCACGTAAAATCTTCGCCCGTAAAACCGACTTTACAGGCAACCATTGTTTTTTTTAAGCTCATAGGAAAAATAACTTCTTAGGTCCATTGAAGTCTATCAAAATACATATAAGGCACAATTTGTATTATAGATTAGAACTACAAGGTAATAAGACCAAATACAGATAAATTAATAGTGTGTGACGGTAACAAAGTTTTTGTTACTGAATAAATTAATGGAAAAAAAATTCTTTTGTCTGATGATGATAAAAAATGTTGTTACCAAAACGTCACACACTATTAATTCAGTAAATTAAATTTAGGAATTCAATTGCCATCTTTATATAAAATTTGTAAAAAAATAAATTTACTGGCAATGTGTTACTCTTTTCAATAATATAATTAAATATTATCTCTACAGGTCTGTAGAGATAATATTTGATGATATTATTGAAAAGAAACACATTGCTAGTAAATTTATTTTTTACAAAATATTAATTTATTTGGATTTGGTCTTATTTTACCTTGTAATTTATCAGTAAATTTTTGTTCGCTCCTGACGAGGACAAAATATTTTTGTTAAAACGTCAACATAATAAAAAGATTTACTGACCGAAGTATCTTTAATTTGAAGAAGTAAATAACATACTCAGATAATTATTTGAAATAACATAAAAGGAAGTTCCAAAAATGCAATATAACAGCGGTATGGTAGATTAAACTGGCGAAACCGCTGGGAGGGTTCACCACTGATGAGCCAGGCCCTCCCTTTAATTTTTCCATTGCAGTAAGGACAGTAGAAATTGTTTTATTTTAAAAAGAATATTACACCTCTAAAATAGTTTTGTAATTTGATAACAGATGCCGCGCTAGTGCATCGTAACATAAATGAAAATGGAAACACTCACTTGTGGTCTTTGACATTAAAATGGAGGCAAATGTGATGTCACTACTGTACCACACATGTAGAGTCTGGAGGTCTTTTTACCCATCATGGAGACTCATGGACTAAAAAAGACCACTCCTCTTCCAGGATGGTGTAAAGACCTTTCCACAATGCACCATCTAAAGAACCAAAGAAGCCTCACCAGACCACCTCTTGGAATGTATGGAAGCCTCAAGACAGTACCTGTATTCCAACCCTACCAAGATTGTTTATTTATTTATTTTTTTTTTTTGCTTATTTTCCTGGTACACATGTTACAGGCCATGATAATCATGGTGGGTAGAAGTTGACAACTTCTTTTACTGTAAGTGCACCGCATGTCTACACATTGCACTTACAAATGTGCCAGAGCCCCGTTTGGTTACTTCCATCGCTGGTGGGGATTGGACTTTTGCAAGAATCGGGGGCCATTGGAGCATTTTTTTTTTAACAGTAAAAAGTGCCCAATTTCGGAATTGAACCCGGGTCGTAGCAGTTGAAAATCAACGGTTTAGACCATCCTTCCATCGACCCCCCCCCCCCCCGGATTTGGTCTTATTACCTTATAATTTATCAGTAAATAACACTATTGTGTACATGCGGGATAGTATTTCAAATGTCGTTTTACAATCATAAGCCGCATTATATTGTATTATAAATTACTTTATGTATTATTTACGAACAGAAAAATATGTCCAGGGTAGCCTAGTGGACATGGCATCTGCCCGGTAAGCGTAACACTGTGGGTTCGATTCCCATCCCTGGACACTTTTATTTTTCCATTTATCATTACTCTTCACAATTCATCCTTTCATACCTCATCCCTAAGGTTAGAAATAGTCGTTATTTCTCCTTAAAATAAAAATTTTGATTTTTTGTTGAAAAGAAACACATGTAGGACGGTTTTCAAATGTCGTTTTATAAATTTATTTATTTATTTATCAAATCAGATGCGATATCCCTACAAGGGATGCTTGCGTCAATAACAACACTAAATTCAGATACTATATTACAAAAAAAAAAATTTAAATAATTACCAGATTTGAAAAGATAAGAAAGAGGACATTAAAATCATTCTTGATTTTACATCACAACCAACAAAATAAACAAACCAAAAATATACAAATAGGTAATAATTAAGGTTTTTTTATCCAAGAGAGAAATTCATAGATATATTTACAGAATTTTCTAAATTTAAAATACGAGTCCTTACTATATTTATAAATGAAAATGGAAACACTCACTTGTAGTCTTTGACATTAAAATGGAAGCAAATATGCTGTCACTACTGTACCTCACATGTAGTCCGGTGGTTGCAGTCCGGAGAGAGCCACTCCCTCACAGCCAATGTCCAGAGAGTCCTGCACCTGCTCCAGTCCCACACTCCCCATCTCCACACTCCCTTACCATCCCGGCCCCACTCCCGCAGGTAACAACACTCCCTTGTTTACAACTGCCATGTTGTATTGTTGGACTGTAACATCTGACTTTGTAACTTGCTGTGTCTTGTTGTTGTTGTTTCTTATCCCCTTGTGTAAAGATTACACGAATTCCATGAGTTCATGCTCCTCGAGCTAGGAATGGGGTGTAGGGGTGAAGCTTTCGTTGATCATGTCACCATGATCCAGGCACACTTTGGTGAAAGTCTGACTTTGCCTGTAGTTTAAGGCCGTTCCTAACATAGAAGCAGACGCCTTTGCTGCCGACTCTAACATGAGTACAGACGCAGCTCCTCCGTATCCCTGGAGTGGGACCATTGCTGAGGTCTATCAACTGGGTCAGTTGAAGTCAGAATTTTTAAAGAGGTCTACTCCTCTTCTAACAATGCTGCTGTTGGTCCGCGACTGCTTATTCGTCAGAGTTATTCTGCTTGTTTCGCAGCTGGCCTTCATATCTGAAGGTCGTTCCCCTATCCGCCACCTGGGGACGCGCCCTATAGCAGTCAGCTCTGCCAAGGGACTCCCTTGTTTACAACTGCCATGTTGTATTGTTGGACTGTAACACTCTGACTTTGTAACTTGCTGTGTCTTCCTTAGAGAGATAGAGATTGAAACTTTTTTAATTTTATTGCCACGTGGAAAATTAGGGAAGACAAACTTCAGGATGAGACAGCAATTTAAGGCAAGAACAAACTATGGAGGATAATTACAAAACTATTTTAGAGGCGTAATATTCTTTTTAAAATAAAACAATTTCTACTGTCCTTACTGCGATATAAAAATTAAAGGGAGGGCCTGGCTCATCAGTGGTGAACCCTCCCAGCGGTTTCGCCAGTTTAATCTACCATACCGCTGTTATATTGCATTTTTGGAACTTCCTTTTATAGTTGACTGTTGTAGGACTCTTGGAATGGGTATTTTAGAAGAACTATGGACATAAGCTTTTAGGACAGCAGAATTAAATATAATTATAAATATATAATATGCTTCGAGCAATCGCTCTTCCGCAAATATCAAATTGTGTCTTTTATTTGAACAATTATGTTACGATGCACTAGCGCGCCATCTGTTATCAAATTACAAAACTATTTTAGAGGCGTAATATTCTTTTTAAAATAAAATAATTTCTACTGTCCTTACTGCGATGGAAAAATTAAAGGGAGGATAAGGCAAAAAAAAAGAAAATAGGGTTTTTTCCACTTTTAATTCTAAGAATAATATTCTGTGTTTCTCAGATAAATATCTTCTTCTTATCTGTTATCTTGTTTACACACTTGATAACAGTAGCTATTTAAAACATGCTGTGGTAAAATTTCTCATTTAGTACTTTTGTCTGAAGATAGTAACAACGCTGTTACCAAAACGTCACACACTATTTATTTATTTGGATTTGGTCTTAATACCTTGTTTTAAACTATGAAGGATAAACAAAAGATAAGGAATGAGGGAAGTTTACAGAGTAGCAAAATATAAAAATGATACTCTGTTAATACTCTAAAGAGACATGGGTTCTGTCTCTTTAGATTAATATCCTCCCGGCAAAATTTCCATCTGTTAATACTAGTGTAAAATAATAAATGTTTCGCTACAATATCCTTCATATAGGGTTATATAAGGTTAAATACTAAATAAATATACAAATACAGTAGAACCTCCATGAAAAGACACTCACACTAGAGGACACCTCTCTATAAAGGACAGTTTTCATTTACAAAATTACCATTTTTTACTAATTAGTAACTCTCCGGTAATAGAACACCTCTCTATATATAGGACACTTTGGCTCTGCAATTAGGTGTTGTCCTTTACAGGGAGGTTCTACTGTATATTCTTTGTTCAACTTTGATTTTCTAAATTGTCCACTAGCGGGAAGTTCTGTTTGTTTGGAGTTGTCTGCTAGCGCAAATATTTGGAAGAAAATAAAAGACCTAATCCAAATAATTTATTAGTGTGTGACGTTTCAGCAACAATATTGTCACCATCATCAGACAAAAGAATATTCTTTATAATTCAAAAGAATATTATTCTTTTGTCTGATGATGGTGACAATGTTTTTACCGAAACGTCACACACTAATAAATTATTTGGATTAGGTGTTATTTTCTTTTATTTTAATCTATAATCCAAATTGTGCTTTATCATTTGGAAGAACAATTTTGCTGGTAACAAATATCTGTTGTTCAGAGGTGTCCGCTAGTGCGAGTGTTCACTACGGGAGGTTCTACTGTAGTTCCTCCAAGTAGAGGAGTAACGTCAGTGTGTGTTACTGCTATAGGACCAGGAGCTGCGAAGCTGCTAGGGATGAGAACACCAAGCCCCGCTTCTCCAATTCCCCTCCCACCAAGGTATTGTCATCCTACATTTTCATTGGTTATATTACCATCATGATTCATATCTAATGCTGCGGCACATGACTGGTACAGAGCAGGAGGGACAATTTCTGTCCTCCAAAGAGAACAACAGTCTTTGATTTCCAGACTTAAGTCTGGTCATCTCGAACAATCTTCTTCTTCTTCTTTCTTATCTCCACTCAATCGAACTAAGGTATCAAGCTTGTAAAAGCTTGAGATTTTTTATGGTGTCTGCCGGGGAAGAGTAGAGCTCATCAATGGATGAGTCAATATTAAAGTCAATAATGTGTTTTGGAGTTGCAGGTTGACACTTAGTACATAATGGGAAAACCTTGCAACCATTCTGGAAAGTCATTGTTCGTAGACAACCATCATGATTGTCTACGAACAATGACTTTCCAGAATGGTTGCAAGGTTTTCTTACTGTGTACTAAGTGTCAACCTGCAACTCCAAAACACTTTATTGACTTTAATTAAAAAGGCATATTTTGATCAAAATATAATGTATTTTACCAATATTTCAGTTGGCTGAACGCCAACCTTTATCAAGGTGTTATAACATTTTAAAGTGTGTCAACAACAAACTCAGCGCTACACAAGTGTTGACACACTTTAAAATGTTATAATACCTTGATAAAGGTTGGCGTTCAGCCAACTGAAATATTGGTAAAATAAATGATATTTTTATCCAATATATACCTTTTTAATTAAAGATTTATCTATGGATTGCTCTATTTTAAAAACATTATTGACTGTATTGACTCATCCATTGATGAACTCTACTCTTCCCCGACAGACACCATCAACAAGCTTTACAAGCTTGATACCCTGATATGATTGAGTGGAGATAAGAAATAAGAAGAAGAGAGGTTCGAATACATACACCTCACTACAATAGAATAAAATAATATAAAAGGCACAAAGGAACCCTTGCCACAGAAAAATAAACTTACTTTTAAAGAAATAGAAACAGTAGCCAAAACAAAAATAAACAAGAACTGGAGGATCACACCTAAGCACAGTTGGTACAGTGGAGTGAACCCAGGAGGAGCTCTGAACTTCAGAAATAGACAGCATCAAACAACACTAACAAGATTTAGAACAGGCCATCTCAAGCCATTGAAGATAGAAAATAATAACAAAATTTATCCCACTTGCCCAAAACGTAGTTTGGTACCTGAAGCTCCAGAACACATTTTGGCTTGCATTAGATGCACTAAACAGGACCTTTGGGAGAGGTCCCTGCTCATCATAAAACAGCTCGAGGAGCATGAACTCATGGAATTCGTGTAATCTTTACACAAGGGGATAAGAAACAACAACAATAACTATAGAGTGTAGCCTCACTTATATACATATTTACCACATTATCTTCTTTTATTGAAGACAATGATAACTAAATCATCATAACTTTGAGTCAAAAGGCCTTCCATCGAATATCTATATATATAAAAATCAATGTTTGTTTGTATGTCCGGTATACAAATTCGCAGTAGTTCACTAATTCAAACCAAAATTTCCATACATAGGTAAAAAAATACGGGGAAGACGATAGGCTATTTTAAAAAATATATAAATCAATTATTAAAACTACTAGACGAATGGCCCGGGCAACGCCCGGGTTTTACTCGAGTGCGCATATATTTTAAAAACGTTTTAATTCAAATACTATTCGTTACAATTATAAATTGGCGCCATGAATGTCACTCTTGTGAAACGTCCCGTTCCAAACTGTGTGTTTTTAAAATGTTTTAATTAAAATACTATTCGTTACAATTATAAATTGGCGCCGTGGATGTCTCTCTTGTGAAACGTCCCACCCCAAACTGTGTGTGTCTTGAAAATATAAAAATAAAAATGTGAATTTTCATAAAGATTTCATCATGTCGATTTTTTTTTTTGCATTTCACCTACTAAATCGATAGAGATAATTACATTTGCAACATGAACTTAGGTATATTGACTAAATAGAAAACT